GGGGCATCTGCTACCCAAAATAATCTGTTGCTTTACCGGGATATTTGTGTGAATTTACGTTTTGCTATATCCCATACTGGCGTAAGACCGATTTACACCACACAACTTTTGCCTAAAAATGTCTTATGCAACCTGCTTACAACTTGAGTTGTACCATTATTTGATATAATGTTATTTACATTAAGCGTTATATCATATCATGAATTTCCGAAAAGTCATGATATGATATCATGAAATTTTGACAAAATCATTACATCATTCGTGTAAGTCCTGATTTGATATAATGCTAATGCGTTACACTATGATATCAAATAATGACTTTTCAGTTGATTCATGATGTGATATAATGTAAAAGAACTTTTTCATTATATCATAATGAAACAGCGCCGAAAAGTCATTATTTGATATATTAGTCTATTAACTGTGATATAATGCAATAGCGTAGTGCGCCATCTGCGCAAAATTAAAACTGTCCAGAAATCAATTAGCATTATAATAACTCAAACTTCCGGTAACTCAAAACGTCCGGTTCATTTTGAGGTCTTTGAAAAACTCACTCGTGCATGTTATATCGTGCATGTTATATCCTATACTAATTGATTTCTGGACAGTTTTAATTTTTGCACAGATAACGCACTACGCTATTGCATTATATCAAATAATGACTTTTCGGCGCTGCTTCATTATGATATAATGAAAAAGTTCTTTTGCATTATATCATGAATCAACTGAAAAGTAATTATTTGATATCATGGTGTAACGCATTAGCATTATATCAAATCAGGACTTACACAAATGCTTATGATATCATATAATGATTTTGTCGAAATGTCATGATATTATATAATGATTTTGTCGAAATGTCATGATATTATATAATGATTTTGTCGAAATGTCATGATATCATATAATGATTTTGTCGAAATGTCATGATATTATATAATGATTTTGTCGAAATGTCATGATATTATGTCGAAATGTCATGATATCATATAATGATTTTGTCGAAATGTCATGATATTATATAATGATTTTGTCGAAATGTCATGATATTATATAATGATTTTGTCGAAATGTCATGATATCATATAATGATTTTGTCGAAATGTCATGATATCATGACTGTTCGGAAATTTATGATATGATATAATGCTTAATGTAAATAACATTATATCAAATAATGACAAAAACGAATAAGTCATGATTTGATATAATGTCTGTTCGTTTATCAATTATTAATATATAATGACAGTTTTGGTCATGATATGCGAAATTGTCAACAAATGCGCTGATTGGTCGAGAACGATATTCCCCCTTGTTGCTTACATATTTTAAAGATCTCACTACTTTTCTTACCAGTTGTATCAAAGCCAAGTAACTCGACATGGACATATCTAACCCAGTATGTCCCTCCCTTTCTTTGCCAGTTACTTGTACATTTAAATCATCTAAACCATCTCGATCAAGCTACAGAAGATACAAAAATTTCGTAAGAAAACTTGCATGTACATTTACATATATTCCACAGACAAGTATATGGCAGGAATGCTCATCAGAGTGGCCCCTATTGCCAAAGGTCCGAAATTAAGCACAAATATGGACAATCTTGCATGTAGCTACTGAGTAGACAAAGAAAAAACAGTCAGGAAGTGGAAAATTTTAACTGAAGGCAATCTTACGAAGTAAAGTCTCATTATAAATTTAGATCAGTTACTTCATTTTTGACAGTTTCAAGATCAGCTCAAGTCAAGGGTACAGCGTGAGAGGCAGATGTCCCCCCCCCAGATAGTAAATGCATACCTGAAAACAAACGAACAAGAAATATATACATATATTTATTACAATCTTATGTATGATTCGAACACAATGTGAGTATCATATAGTCAATATACACATAATTCAAATCTAATATAAATGAAGCCAATATTGGCCTCGTTTGAACAGGCCTTTACACTCAAGTCACAATTTTCTCTTGTTTCGAACAGACATCACTAGGGATATCCTCAATGCGTGGTTCTGTTTGGGAAACATTGGGTCATACCTCACGTCTTACAAGTTACAGTATCAGTGTTATATTGTCAAACACGCTTTTGTATTCATAGCATCACAAAACAAATTTAAATGTTTATACGATACAAAAAAAGTTGTTCAAATACTGTCAATACTGATGTGACAATACTTTTAAGTTATTCAAGTCTTAACACTCATTAATATGTATACGGTTTTAACAGAATGAAATTTTGAGCAAATATTTATATATAATTTTAGGCTAGACCGAGGGCAGCTGATTAAATTGCAACCTGATACAAAAACACCAAGCTTTCGTTGGTAGGGATCCAACTACCTGGAAAATATAAGTAGAATTTCGACGTTTCCAGCGAAGGCCCTTCGTCTGGAGTTACTCGTCTGGAGTTACTCGTCGAGCATAGGTATCTTATATACACTAGATCTTGCATCTAATTATTCTGCAATTCAAAAATTGAAGCCGTGATTGCAGACTCAGGATATTCCCATGAAATGAAAAGACTCGTATGTTTTCTATTTCTTAAACGGGGAACTTAAACATTAGTTAAACCTATTCCAAACACATTTTAAACTATTCAAATGATGAAAGTTATTATTATTGTTGTTTTTTAAGTGTTTATTAGCAAGTGGGAACTACCAACATGGCCGCCATCTATTCAAATGGGCCGAAACGTTTCGACTAGTTTTCAGTCATCCTCATGCAGAATAAGAGGATGACAGAAAACTAGTCGAAACGTCGATTAAAAATCAAAATGTTATTCGGAGTTACTGTTATTTTGTATTTTCTTAAAATATTGAGTGGTTCCCGTAATTATCTACATTCAAGCCCCGTTTACACTACGCTCAATTTTTGGTACGGCACGGATAAAATTGGTACCCGTACCACTTTTTTGGTTCTTGGACTACCTATTTAGGTAGTCCAAGAACCAAAAAGTGGTACGGTACCAAAAAGTGAGCGTAGTGTAAACGGGGCTTCAGTTATATTGAGCGAGATGCCAAAAATGTTGATAATCCCCAATGAGTGAACAACCTGCTAGCCTAAGCATCATTATGCGTGAATTTATCATTTAGTTAGACTTGACACAACAAGCCCCTCTCAGTTATTTACATTTCTGGGACAGCACGCAGTGACGTAGGCTATATTTGCATGGATTGAAGAGGACGTTGTCAAAAACGTCCCTTGTGTGTGCATAATTATGTAATATGATGACTGACGAATCCTTGATAGGTTGCCTCAAAGATAAAGTTAATGAGCAGCTTTTGAACATCTGCCACACGATATCTGCTACTTATTGATATATGGCCTTACATCTGACTTTAACTTCAGAAAATTAAAATGGGTCATATTTCAACTATAGGTTGTCATAAATTTATACTTTTGTAAAAAAAAAATCACATGCAGCTGTCCATGAAACACAGGCGGCAATACATTCTAACGTCCAATAATTCAGTTCATGGCATTCATCTTCCGATCGCACGTATGTGTTGTTCAACAGGGCCTCAAAGAAATATTTGCCCGAAAAGACGAAATCAAAGCAACTTGATTGTTTCTCACACAAAACATAAGCAGCGATCGAGGGAAAACCTTTTTATAGCTATTTGAACTGCTAAGACTTCGTTTGCTTTGCCAATTGCATAATTGCCAAATTTTATACTGTACTTTATACTACCAAGTTCGCGTGAAACTTGCGAACGGCTCCCTCTTCAATACTCCAATAGAAATGGCGACTTACATAGGTCTTCTCTAGGAAAGGAGATTGTTGTTGAACGTATACAATTCAGTAAGTGCAGTAAGTCCAATAAAAACATTTCTGAGTTGCGTTCCTTGAAATATTTCGCACAAATATACGAAAATGTAGGCTATGGAACCGACGGTCTTTCAATGCCGGACAAAATATAGTGCTACTCCACAAGTAACGCTGGGTTACTGTGGCGTGACGGTATGACTAATCACCGGAACAGCGGACTGCAGGACCTTTACGAAATGCCGAGTTATCCAACAGTGCAATATTTCTCTTCTAAGTATTACCACAGTGCCAGTTCCCGTTGTGGAGATAGTTGAATTTCATCCTGCATAGTCATCTGGCAAAAACACTGCCTAATTTTTAAACTATTTTCCCCATTGACATGCACTTTCTGTCTAATTTACAGTTTTACACGAGTGCTATACTACTCGTAACGTCTTCGCTGGATCACAAAGTCCACTTTTGCTTGCGAGTCGTGCAATTTAATGACATTGTTTGAAAATAATTTCACATCATTGTAATATGAAAGTGTCGAGTTTACCAGAAATTATTTTTATTGTTTTATATGTAGGCATTTTATCAGTGCTGAATGAAGAAATGGACAGCGCAATAGAAAAAAAGAATGCTTTAAGTCGATTTCGCGGAAGTATTATACGTAACACTGGCACCAGCATTGTGAGAGATATTGAAGTACGCTCAAACTATTCTTTGGTGTCAGCCATCACAATGATTGCGCCATCACCTGATTGGTTTACTGGAGTTCATGATTACAATTTATGTAATGAAAGTAACGGAAAGTGGTTTGATAAAAGGGTGAAAGATTTGTTTCTCTATGACTCTGGTACAGATGATGCTCCAAAATTTGTTCATGAAGATACACCATCAAACCCAGCTGTAGCTATCTTTCTCATCACCAACAAGCATGAAGGATCTTTGAAGAGCAACAACACAATCAAAAGATTTGGAACTTTCACCTTCACAAATGGCGCAAACGTAATTACTTATGGCCATGCTAACGTGGCAATATTGAATATGCTTATTTGTTATATATTAATTGTCACTAAATAATTAATATTTACTTTTTGTGATATATATTGTGCGATTATTTCACTCGAATCGAACTTCTTCGTCATTTGAATACTTTATGTGTAGAATAATAGAAGATTATAATATTCATCCAAGAAAAATTCTATCTCACATACCTAACTCTTAAAATGTTTGAATTTGAAATGCAGACAAGAAGGCTTAAAATACATGTACTACTGTACTCCGACAATGTCGCTTACATTGATACGACTGTATAAAAGTTAAAGCCAAGCATACCTTATTAATTCAAAACAAAAAATAAAAATAGTGAAACCTGGAGTAAAGAATGCTGTGTGTATGTAATTTCTATAGCATGATGGTGTACGTTTGTCAGCGGATGCATGCGAGCCTGGAAAATGTGAGAGAGAATGTTCTATATCTGAAGGGAGACAAAATCTGTAGGTTTGGTCCTTGTGTATATAATCGGCACCTGCTAGGAAGACATTAGGGAGCTTTAGATTTGACTACGAGTACGACTACGAGTACGAGATTTGATCGCGTGCGAGGAAATTACCGTAGCCGTTTTCGTTTCCATTCAAATGTTGCTTTTATAACAGTAAATCAACAACTAGAGAAAAAGTTTCATAAACTAAATCTCCTGCCGACTAAAATCCCCTACAAAACGTGTAAATAAATCATAACATTATAAATAGGCCAGATATTTAGTACTAATATATTATTTGCGCCGGATAAACGCTATATAAATGCTACAAATCATTTTTGGAAACAAAAAAAAGCCAACATTCTTTGGGGTTTTTTTTTAAGTCGTCGTGAGGACTACGAGGTTTCTCCACAATTTGGTACTCAGATGGGCGACGGCTACGACACAGAATAGGAAGTTATACCAGAAGCGTAACTCTAGTCGTTTCCCTTATTGTTTGACGTCCACGAAAATTTTTAACTCGCTCACGTCAGGCCACGCCATCCTGGCTAGTACAGCCGGAAGTTTTATCAGGATTTGGTAGGTACAAAGTGCCGGTTGTACTAGCCAGGATGGCGTGATTGATGACGAATCGCTTGTAAAAACGCGGACAAATATTTGCTCGAGTTACGCTTCTGGTATAACTTCCTATTCTGTGGCTACGACTTTATCGCGTCAGTACGGGATGGCGTAAGCATACAGCATGCGTTTAGCTTGACGAATCTCGTACTCGTAGTCGTACTCGTAGTCAAATCTAAAGCTCCCTATTTTATCTGAGACAGACAACTCGTGGTATAATTGCAGATATTGAAATTCCTAAGGCCCATTTCCGCTCAAGAAAAACTTCCGCGGACAGAAATGTCCAGAAAATATCATTGTTTACAGTTGAAAATTTTCAACTTTTTTTCCAACGGAATATTTGTTTCGGTCAATCACATTTTCTAATTGCAATTTTGATAGGGAGATTGCTATGAGCAATTTGCAACCGACGCGAACAGATTGCAAGTTGAAATTCACAAAAGATTTGTAAACCAAGCCTCTGATTGGACTATAAGAAAGAGGGAAGCCAATCAAATAGTCAATCAATCAATCAATCAAACTTTATTTACCCACGGTACTATTTCACAAAGACAAAAACTAAAATATTTACAAGACTGATGTGATCTTCCAATAGGCCGTGCTATATATGTATGAATAATTACATGCAATTATAAAAATATTTTATTAAGTTAATACAATAAAATCGAAGAGAAAAAGAAAAAAAAGATAAATTGATTATCAAGAATTATTACCACTATTTGACACTAGAGCCCTTTTGAAGGTTGACAATGAACCCATATTTTTTATATTAGGTAATAAATCATTCCAAGCTACAGCTCCTCTGTACGAGAATGATTTTTTACAAAATTTTGGTATGTCCGAAAAATATTTGGACCCGTAAAATGGTACACTGACCGAAATTTTTTTGGCGAAAAACCCCCTGTTTAATAATATATCCAGGAAACGAATTCTGTTATAGACTGGCAGACCATGATACATGCACGAGCGATTTCGTCCTTCGCGCTGAGGTGCAACATTTGATACTCTTTGTTTTTCGAAAAAATGGCTGAATTGTAGTGAAATACTCCGCACCCCCTACCCGGGAAACAGCAGGGCATTACTGATCAAGACCTTGCTCTAATTCACTCTAACTCCCCGCTATACGGGCCACTCTCACTTGCCTAAACGCAAATAATGTCCCCGCTCTCCGGGTCCGACATAAAATTTCTAAAATTAGAAAATCAATCGAAAGGAAATAGACCTGTTTGATAAATACTGCCTCATTCGTACTTAATTACACGCGTCTTGTAAATTAAACTGGATTCGTTCGATTTGGCTTGCTCATTGTTTTGGGCCCCTAAAAACTGGGCCTTTCATTTTAAACTAAAATTTAAGTCCTATTTATGCATATTTATGGTCTATATAAACACTTAAAATGGTACGTGGCTACCTCATCAGTATTAAAATCAGAACTGACCACAATTACGAATACGATTTCCAGTACGAGTTTGAGCAAGAATTACAGAATTGGCGTTCGGTAGTAAGTTAGTAGGCCGTAAACGACAATGGTAATCGGCTGGTTGGTGATTAGGAAACGTTTTGAGAATCACTGAATCACAGTCAGGAATTTGTTATAAATTTTAAAATATATTTAAAAAATAAACACGACGCAAAGCCGGAGAAAACCTGGATGGTTGATTGGCTTCTACATGGTATAATATTAAACTTGAAAAAATGGATGTTCATCTAAATTCTAAACGGTTTAATTACAATAACTTTCAAGAAACCAAAATGGTGACCTCCTAATACAAGATTGTCAGTTCGTTCACAAGATTGTCTGTTCGTTTTCATTGGTCATTCCCAGTCCTTTCTCGTTTTCAAGATGGTGGCTATGTCGACGAACGTATCCCCGATATTGCCCCGCCATACACCCTTTTCATAAATGGCTGCCGATTAAAAATTCTTATAAATTGGCCCAACTAGCCTCGTACTCATGTTAAGATTTCAAAGGAATTTCTACCCAGAAACCACGGCAGGGGGGGGGGGGGGGTGCGGGGCATTCCACTGACTGGGCCTGACTGGTGCATAATCGTATACATTTGACACCTTAACCTTGATGAGACTTGATCCGCCATACGAACGACATAAAATCCGCACAAACGTCGGTTTGTAATGGCAGTAAAGCTATATTATTATATCTTTGATGTTGAGCACTAAAGTGCAGGAAAGCTTGGGTTATAGACCGCTTTTCGTCAGAACGGCATTTCATCACGTCAATGTTCACGCTTTACTGCAGACGAGCAACATCTGGATGATAAAGCAGACGAAATCGGTGTTGCAACACAATCCGTGGGCGTATTGTTTACATGCGTGGCATAATTACGTAACCATGAAATCACGAAGTTCTAACTGCCAGTGGTTAATGCAAACATGGCTGTGCTTTTGGTTGTAACAAACTGTGGTGAAATCTCCAGCATAAAACATAAGACTGGCTGGTATCTCCCTGAGGTCGCTCATCCTTATAAGGTCTTTAAAGATGCTGGTATTTCGATGACAATTGTCAGTCCTCTTGGCGGCAAAGCGCCTTTGGTAAGTGACTATAAAGTGCACTTGATGAACTTGTAAATTTGTTTGACAATTTAGAAATACTAGTCCACTAGATTTCACGAAATGTCCTAGTGAGGTCAGAAGTGCAAGACGTATGGTACTGTTCGGTAGAGCTATTGTCCTCTCCCCTAGCTCATGATGATACCTCAGAAGGAAAGATAAATTCTCTGTGTAGGAAAGAAGTTGTTTACATAGCACAATAGTATAGTGAACTTGTTTTATAAGTAACGCAATTATATTATTAATATTATCAGCATATATGCATGTTCACTCAGTTGAAATACTAATTCCAGTCGGTGATATATAACACTATCTATTTGATTGCGACATTCCAGCATTTGCACACTTGATAAACGCGGTTTGGAATCATCACAAATCATTTACTCGAGTACATTTCATCCTATCATATTACTGAGTCAATAATATCACAACCTCACAAACGTATATAGTATATGACTGCTATAATTACACAATTCAAAAGCAAACTGCATCACCAAGATTGATATTGCCGCTTAACGAAAAAAGCATGTATACAATACACTTTCAATTCTCTATATTCTGGAACGTTCCCAAATATCTTACTGCTGACATAGTTAATATACTTTATTATATGGCAAGCATCACTTCTGGTGAAATGGCGGACTGTGATTGGCTGAGAAGCACTTTCAGCGGTCCATTACTTTCCCGTAATGGCCGGCGCATTAGAGAGTTTTAGCTTGACGTTTACGGCAAACGTCAAACCGCTAACGAAGTTTTGGATTTTACAAATCTATTATAACAGCTTTTACACCAGTTTTGAAATATAAACAATTATTAAACTTGTGCTCTTTAGCAATGATTTAAAAGAAAGCAAATTAACTACTAGTCACGTATTCGCGAAAGCAGTAAATTATGATTTGGCGTTTGAAGTTTACGTTTGGCGTATAAATTTCATGCTTTAACGACTATACAAGCCCTCATAGCAGTGTCTAGTGGTTAATTTGCTTTCTTTTAAATCATTGCTAAAGAGCACAAGTTTAATAATTGTTTATATTTCAAAACTGGTGTAAAAGCTGTTATAATAGACTTGTAAAATCAAAAACTTCGTTAGCGGTTTGACGTTTGCCGTAAACGTCAAGCTAAAACTCTCTATTACGTAAAAACATACGCATGCATTTTAAAACAAAACAGCAAAACTAATTGAAAATTTGAAGATTATAATTGAATTTGTTATTAATTAATAAGATATATGCGAATGGTTTTTAGTGGACAAGAAAGAAACATTGGTATTTTTGTTTTCTTCGACCAAATATGTACCACGCTACTAATATGCATTTGAAATCATGCATTTCTTGTTTGTTTCAAGTATAAATGCATATAAATGCCATATAATAAACTTTTTATTAACCTCGCTTGCTCGGTATGTTCAGAGAAATATCGGACCTCGGTCTTTCTGTACAAACCTCGCCCTACGGGCTTGGTCTGTACAAAAAAGACCTCGGTCCGATATTTTTCTGTACAGACCTCGCGTTCGGTTTATAAGAATTTAGTAATGTTAATTCTTATCGTCTATTTAAAGAGATATATGAGAAATAACACAAGCCTTGCTTCCTTGTCCTTTTTGTCACATGTCTGTCTTTCCGTATATGGTCATGTCCATTTATGGTGATATCCTCAATATTACACATACCACTCTCATGTACCGAATACAACACTTATTTAGCCTGAGCTCTGAGCCTCTGGTCATAGATCTTATAGGCACCATGTATCAGTTTTGAAAATTTTCTTTACATCGCAATCGAGTTCGAATCGCTTCAACATAACTCGGGTATTCAACTAAACATACCTCCTCTTTTCTATACGATTACAAGGATCCGGGAAGTGTAGAAGCTTCAAAAGGAGACCCAATATGTACAACATTACACGCTGATCAACAATGGATGGAATTATTTAATCAAACGTCCGCAATTACCGATATTGATGTAACTAAGTACAAGGTGATATTCTTCGCTGGAGGCCATGGACCAATGTTTGATTTGCCAGACTGTGATGCGATGAACAATGCCGCAGCAAAGATATTTGAGAATGGTGGTATTGTTGCAGCTGTATGTCATGGTGTTGTAGGTACGCTTATCATATTATGTGTTTAGTACTGTTGAGAAGGAGCGAACATGTTACAGTAGCTATGTTGGTTTGTACAAGAAGGTATCATGCATTCATCTCACAAATAGATGAAATAGAATACACCTTTCCGGAAAGTACGTCATCTTGGCTATAGGGTCCCGTTTTCGTGAATGAAATGTTGGTCTGCAGGACTTCAACTTATGTCACACACACACGAAGACGAGGCTGTGTAGTCAAATTGATGCACTTTCTGGAAGGCAGCTGGCATGTAGTGTCTCTGAAAATGTCCTCTCTCTGTATGTAAACACCTTTGGTATAGTTTGTATCATATTAATTTCCAACATTCCGTTTCTAAAATTCATATAACTATATATATAGTATATGTAGTTATGGTTTGGTATCATTGAAGCATTTTGAAGCATTTCGCATCTGTTATATATGAAGAGAAGATAAAATGAGTACTTTCCTATGTAGGCTTGGTAAACGTGAAACTGCCAAACGGAGAATGGTTGGTAAAAGGTCACAAAGTAACGAGTTTTACAAATGAAGAAGAAGATCTCGTGAAGCTTAGTGAAGCCATGCCATTCATGCTTGAGACAGCATTGGTACAGCATGGAGCTCAGTTCGACGCAGCCCCACCATTCCAAGAGAAAGTGCATGTGTCAGGTCGTATTATAACGGGCCAGAATCCAGCGTCAGCTACACCACTAGCACAACGTGTTTTTGAGAAAATGAAGGAACTCAAGTTCTGTTAAACTGTTTTATCACTAAAGTATAGAGTAACAATTTCTCAAAGCAACAAATACAAGCTTATCTTGTTTGGTCTAATTTCTTCTTCTCATGCCTAATTTCCCATCATATTTCTCTTCTTTATATTATACTTTTTAAGTAAAAACAGAAAATAATTCACTCCGGCTCTTTCCATGAAATGATCTGCTCATATGTTTTTGAAATCTCGCCAATCCACAGACAATCCGGCATATTTTTTATATCAGTGATGTGTGACCAGTGCATAAACAATGACCACTATACAACATAGTAAACAGTATTCTCGTCCCCAGAGCCATTTTCACTCGGTCACTCGTTGAAAATTCGGCTCTAAAGGGAGAGATCTGATTGGCTTCTCATAGAACTGCTATTTCGCAGAAGTTGAGCAGTTTTCGTTATTTTCTATATCAACATATGTCAACACAAATACTCGTTTCTTCGTAATACTTCACTGTGAAAATTGTTACGGATTCCAATTCAAGAGCATGCGCTTTAGAAACTACTGCAAGTTTTCTTGCACTTCCGGTTCCGTGTGTCCCAGGGCTTAGCGAGGACGCGCGCGGCCGAGAGGCACTGGGGACGAGGATGCATAAACAGCCGAATTGATTTGGTACCCGCGCTCTAGGCTTACGCGCCGTTGGCTTCGGGATCATTCCACTCAAATGAATAGAAAGCGCACTCTTCAGATACGAATCAATGTATGGTATAAAATGGAAAACAACTGCTATTCAACTTTTTGTTTGGCTGCATACCGAGGCTAACAATTTGTTCCTAGTTTTCCCCCATAATTACGACTGTTCTAACATTGTTTCATGTCCCACATATTTAACTTAGCAAAACGAAAGCTTTTATCGTGCTTACCTTAATCACTTTGCCAATATCACCATCATGCACCTCTTCATATGTTCTACAACACTTCACAGTCATGCCAACCTGCACTTTATCTCGAACATACTTAGCATATTCCTCATTATCTCGGAAATGATTTCTGTTCTTATAAACAACTGCAGTGCCATTATAATGTTCATCTGTCGCCTCGCCATCACTTTGACTACTGCTTGTATTACCACCACCATCTTCATCATCTGAGGAAATACACTCTGTCTCTGTCTCTTCAATCTCAGGAATCTAAACCATACAAAGAAAGGTGGGTTAAATCACGTGACTATGCTTGCTTTAAATCCTGCCTCCTCCGCAGGCCCTTCGTTAGACACAGTGCAGTCCAATCTATATAAATCAGTGGCTGTGATAAGTTGCTGCAACAAAGATTTTTTTTTGTTTTCCTCCCCCCGTCCTCCCCCTTGAAAGCGATTGGGGACGAGACAGCTTTAAATCAACAAGCAGTGCTAGAGCAGTTCGATAGCAGCAAAAATCTGAAGTTTCAAGTTGACGTTAAATGAATAAAGGATAACAATATGAAATCGGATAGGACTTACGTCTAAACCAAAAAACAGATCCTTAGATAAAATTGGCACTGCTGGTCGATTATAGTAATGTACCTGTGGAAACGTCACCTCTTCAGAAAATGGCTCATTGAGTTCTGTATTTTGTAATTATTTTTCTGAAGCACATAGGCGGTTAAAAATTGGCATCTAAGGCAGGTCAACCTAACTTAACAGAACATGACTAGACTATACATGTTGAACTGTTCAGAATATTAATGACGCAACTACTAAAATATTTCAAGATATGGCAAAGTTTTCGATTCATTGGTAAAACGTTAAGGTAAAGAACAGGCTAAAGGCCTTAAAACAATATATTCCGTTACTTGAGCATATTTAAAAACACTTCAAATTTACAAATTAAGCACAATTTATTATAAAACGTTGAAACAAAGCGAAGCAAAAAAGAGCGCGAGCCATTGCAATGAATACTCAGTGATATCATTTTTTGTGCAATTTCCGGTCGCAATTTGGTTGAAGCATATTAAATCTGGTACCAGTGCATGTAGAAAAACTCTGCAGGATCGCTTCCGCGAACAACGTCTGATATTTCGAGTTAAATATTCAGCCATCGCATACACTATAGTCAAAAGCTCATAATTATGTATTGCAAGAAAATAAATATTAAATCTAGAACGCGTGAACCTAACAATAGCCTTACATTATAGAAACTATACAGTAACAAATTTTGATGTTCCATAAGACAATCAAAAGTTAACAATTTAGCGTAAACATGAACATCATGTTGCTGAATTATTGGAAAAAATAGTGAAATCCATACTATGGAATTTGCAATTGCGTCACTAAATCCATAGTACATCCATACTATTTCCATATAGTATATACCCTGCATAGTACGGAAATTGCAAGCAGTATGAAAATTGGGTTTCCATATACAATTACTTTATGGTTTCCGTGTTTGGATGGCTTGATCCAAACACGCGGGAATGTTGCGAGAGTTAAGAATCACGAGCCGAAGGCGAGTGATTTTGCGCGCTTTTCTTAACTCGAGCAACATTCCCAAGTGTTTGGAGGTCATCCAAACACGGAAACCATAAAGTAATTGCTTTATAAAATAACAACAAAGTTTAAAATAACCGCGAAGGCACTTTAAATTTCCGTGTTTGGATGGCCTGATCCAAACACGGGTTTCGACCAATCAGAGCACGCGTTATATAAATGTCATTTTATAATACTATTTCCAAAGAAGATCCTTACTATTTCCATAGTAGGAATTGTGAAAAAATTTTCAGTGAATACAGGGATACTCTTTCTCAAATACCTCGGGATGATCGAGTAACCAAGCGACAACCATTTCAGGTCGAGGATTTTCCACTTTCAGTTCCTTTACAGCATATTCAACATGACCTTGAGGAAATCCCATCTCAATACATTTTGCAACGACTGGATGTGAAACTTTAGAAAGAGATTTCGTTCTTTTCCCTGGACATTTAGTGCTTTTAGGACTTTCACTTTTGTTGTTGATATTACTTGTAGGACTCCCAGTGGTATCTATATCGCATGGTACTGGACTGTACGCTTCTGCAGCCAGATATTGACAAGTGGAGAGGGCAGCCGCCTGAAATATCAATATGGTGAAGTTCTAAATTTCAAATCTATGCACGATAACAAGCATTAATACATATGTCGACTTAAAAGAAGATCTAGAATGCGTAAGTATTTACCAGTATACCAACTGGTAATTTCTTACTCATTCTAGATCTTCTTTTAAGTCGACTTGATTTTCATAAACCTTACTTTTACACCACTGAGCACTACCGTTTTCGTATTATTTCGGGTAATTAGAGCATTGTCTTCTATTCCCTTGTGAACGGAAAATAAGACGAAAACGCTACGAAAACGGATTAGTGGGGACGTAGCCTCACAAAAGTGTAGGGCACATATCTACCAGTGAAAGTGAAGAATAAAAAATCCATGCTGAAATTATATCGCATTCAGTTCTTTCAGCCCGGAAAAGCAAGGCAAACTCTAGTAAATATATTTCATCGAAATTAAACTAAAATTTAATTGATTTGGCCTACAACTTGACCTACAGTCATTAGCTCCACAAATTGAACTGTTTAATAGATTTTTTAAAATCTTAAAAGTTATGAGAATAATTAAGTAATAAGCGGGTCTTCGGTGGCGCAGTCGTCACAGCAAGCGCCTTTCACCTCTGAGATCGTGGGTTCGATTCTCGCTACAGACTCATGTGAAAAGTGTCAGTCTACGCTCTGCCGACAGTCGTGGGTTTTCTCCGAGTGGGTAAACACAGTTAAGAAAGTCATGAAGAAGTGTCTTTTGGAGTATGTAATTTAAGTACCTTTTGACGTATGTGATTTTAGTAGTATGACCGCATGGCGAGAGACAAAAGTATGTAAGTTTGATAGCTGAAATAATTGTGAGATCGTGAGAGATATTTTGTGGAGAAGTTGCTTGTTTGTGATATGTTATTAAAGAACTTTACGTAAAGTGTTCAGAGTGCTTCGTTACAAAAGTAATATCAAAATTGTTGTAAAGATAAAATAATCTAGGTTAAGTACGTTATTAGGTAAGCGTAATACTTGATGTAAAGCGCATTTGATCATATCCGCATGTCAATTCGCGCTATAGAAATGTTAATCGTATAATCGTAATAAGGCTATAGATACCATACACACCCCAGTAATAGCTCACCTCTAGCTCTTCCCGACCAAAAATAGGCTTAATTGGCGATGGCTTTACTGCAGTTTTCATCAACTGTTGAAACAATGTTTGCGCTTCTTCTGAGCCACCTGTACTTTCTGAAGAAAGAATGATCTTTCTAAGGTGTTCTTGAGGACTCAAAAGAACACGAACTGCCTTGAGTAATCCAAGACAAATTTGTTGTTTCCTCAGTAACGCTGTTTCGATCACATCAAACACACCTTAAAATATAAAGAGAAAGTTGTAGTCATTTGTTTCCAGTTGCAGTCATTGGTCAACTAATTTTGTAATGGTAAAGACGTACAATAAAACATCAGGAATAAAATCAGGATTTTAAAAGAATACATGCATCTACAAGTACCAGACACTGATATTTTAGCTAGACACGCTTCTTTACCACTAAGACACTTGTTTAAAGTTACTTAAAAATATCAGGCAATGGTTCATAAGAATGCTATTTATAGTTAGAGTATGAGATCAAATAAGCACAATTCAAATGTTATTAGTTCCCATACGTAAGACCCTCCACCAGAGTCCCCTACTTCAGAAGGATCCAACAAAAGCTCTCCCAAGTTAGGATAAGACCTCGTGTTTAGAGATGAGCCAGCCAACTTGAGAGGTGAAACAATTTGAAAGTGGGGAACAACTCGAAACTGGGAAACAGTTTGAGAGTGAGGAACAATTTGCGAATTGGGACCGATTTGAATTGGGGGGGGGAGGAGGGGTTTGTCCAATTTGATAGGAGTTGGGGCTTGTCCAATTTGAGCACCGTCTCAATTACTTGGGGTCCCTATCATGTGGGCGCTCAGGGAAAATTGCTGCGTCCATCTCAGGACTTACCTTTGGAAAATGTGTTTTCGGACGTTTCATCATCGGAAGGTGCTGCAGACTCCTTCATTTCCGATGTTAGTACACCCTCACCAGTCAATCTGACTAGAGATGACCACATATTTAACATACTGCCAGACACGTTCAGACGCTCAACACAAAATGATATCACAGGAACCTACAAATAATCAGGAAATGTTTTTAGTTTCGTGTCAGTAGATATTGCAATGTCCAATTTAGATAACATGCAATACGGTAAGGTTTGTGAAGATTAAATCTCGGATAGTTATTTGACAACATCTAATAACAGCTTACACTATTACTAATCACCTAGAAGGTATGTAAGGACGGAATTTGCCCGCCTAACAAGTACAGTATACTCTCAACGCTAAGAATTTTAATTACTAAAATAATTTAAAAAAATAGAATCAAGATAAGGCAATCAAGACAACGCAATCTTTGTTATAAATACTCAAACGATACAAAAGTAATATTATATTACGTAAGAATTACAAAACGGTGAGTATAGGTACAGGCTACAATCCTGGGCAAAATATCTGCAAAATTTCGTAATATTATTGCAAATTCAGAAAAACCTTCCCCTTCCCCCCACCGTTCAATGTTGATTGCATTCCCAGAATACATGAAGTTAAAGCAATTGTAATACGTCCAACATTGTTTTTGGGGGCGGGGGACAAATATTATTCCGGTCTAATAGTAAAAAAAACCACAGAGGAATGTTTTAATAAAGTGTCGCAGATGGTTTTGACCAGCAATGTATATTGCGGTGGCCAAACCAGACGTTTCTTGGCATTGTGAAATAACGCATTACAAATTTCCGTATAACTAAGGAGAACCTCTACAAAGAATGGTTTTCGTACAGTAACGTGGGTTAAACCACAAAGTTTAAATCATTACCAACAAAGACAACACGATTTTCTTAGATATCCTGCATTACATACCGACTTAAGTTGTGATATGGAACATGTATGTATTTCATTACTTCCTTGACATTGCATAGTGATCTTGCCATTAGCTGCGATACGTGATACAGTACCAACACCATGATCATTATGATGAACCATACCACCCAAACGTGGTCGACTATCTACACCACCAATAACAGCCAGAGCAGCCATAATACCTCCTTCTACTGGTTCATCTTCCGTATTCTCTGAAATTGTCTGTCAAAAATGTCTTTATATTAGTCGAGTTATTTTACCATCAGACATCTCACAACCTGAAACACTGACTGTTATATTACAACCAGGAAAACATTAGTGTACTAATTTGGTGCTTTTATCCCAAACCCACAAATTGAATATAGGCAACTGAGTAGCCTGCTCGCAGCCCGAAATTAGCTTAACAGTAAGTAAATTTAACACAAATCCTGTGAAAGTTCTCTTTCGTACCTTAGATTGCGATGCAGTTTCGGCAATGGAATTCAATCTTGCACTAATAAAATCGTTAATCAAAGGATTCCAGGAATCAAACGAATGAAGATGACGAAGAAGTACTACCAATTCTTCAGCAACTGTACTGCTATGTGAAGCTGTGAGAGACGCTTTAGGTTTAGATTTTCTTCCTTGCATTTTCTTTTTCCGACCTTAAAACAGATTTTGAAATATACAGGCCCGTTCAAAACAGTCCAACATGTTGGTCTAACATCCTATACTGCTGCAGACTGCAACATTATTGGCTTTGTTTGAACATTATTGGCTTTGTTTGAACATTATTGACTTTGTTTGAACATCATTGGCTTTGTTTGAACATTATACAATCTTTATCTAACTTTAAAACTAAAATATTTAAGTATTTTTTAAATATGGACAAAAAAGAACATATATGCAGTGTAAAATAATTATTTAAGTTTTTTATTTGTGTTTTTTACCATAGAAATCCTTTACGATGCTGGTCACTGGTTAATACCAGCTATTTCTTGTAATTATGCTGATCGGGGTTTTTTCCAGTTTAAACAAAATTATTATAATTATTATGTAATGTTCACTGATGTTGGATCAGGTTTCCCAAATATTCATCCAACATCGCCCAACATCGTTGGACCAAAGATGTTGGACGATATTGGACTGAGAATGATTCATATTGTGGTGGATAAGCACTTACTATCAATGGGAAGCATTCCTGTACAAGTCATCAAGACACGACCAAGCAGAGCAAAAAGCTTTTCAATTAGTGTTGACATTTGTGCTGAATAACCATCTCCATCCCATGAGGGTAGAACCACTCTCATCAGACGTAAGGTTAGGATCTAAATAAAACACATTAGCTTGATTTGATTTGTTGCTCAACGCGGATTGCTTTCGGTAGAGTAACAATTCAAAACTAGAAGTTGCTGCAAAAGTTGCACTTCAAACAGAATACAAGAACTGTAATAGTCGAAAAAATATTAAGGGTATAACGGCAACAAAATTTAGGATTGTCTAGATTGAAGAAATCGTTAACCCAAGTAATATTTTGAAACATATCATTGCATTGTTTTGCAGGTGTGCTCTACTTTTTGATAAGCATATAGGATGACGTCACAAGCGTGGCAAACATTTCCACATTTTACTGGAATTTTATGGTGATATCCTCAATCATGTTTCGCGCACAAATATATTATACTTTGAACTGGACCCCAATCACATTTCTATCCTAAACCCTATTGCACACGAAACATGACGTTACGACCACTTTATACGCTTGCTTCTTGCCCATCTTTAGGAGCAAATACAAGTCACACCTTAAAGAAGCCCAGGGTTTCGCTGCGTGGTATAAAGTGTACTTTTTACAACTTTCTACTATTTAAGTTTAGATGTTTCTATTAATTTTGATGAGTTAGCTTGATAACAGTGATGATATATGATAATTTGTCATCATATATAATGTTATAGGATTGATTAATTTAAATACTTATCAAGCGAACCGAAATATTGTCATGACGAAATGTGATTCAATGGTGCAAACAAATTAATATTTTACAAGTACTTAGTTGGGGAAAACCAAAGATCTTGAAGTTTTCAATATACATATATTTGTACCTGCTGGTATTAGATAACACAATTATATCAGTATTAGATAACACAATTATATCAGTATTAGATAACACAATTATATCAGTTTACCTGTCTTGGTAACTGTGCAATTAATTTTGTTTCTTGCAGTGACTTAAGTTCAGCATTAGCTGGACTACAAAAGTTGGCGTCTCCCAAATTACCACCCACTATACGTAGAAATAAGTTGATCCAATGAGATGAGCTGAACACTTTACTTGCAGATGGCGTTAATGTTATTCCACGAATACAACCTAGCTTCGCCCATTCATGATGTTGTTGCTGGTAAATTACATCTCTGTCATTTTCTGAAACAAAATATAAAATTGTAATATGTCAGGAACCAATATTCTATGACGGGAGCAAAACATTTTTCTTTGGTTAAAGTTTTGTTCTGTATTTCAATTCATTCTATTCTACTTTATGCTATGCTATATGCTATATAAAATGCTGTGCCGAGTTTCGGCTTGTTTTTTAAGGTAGTAATATAACCACTCAGCACAGCATTTTCACATTGGTACTATACCCACACTGGTACAGACAGTTTTAGTATATATATGCTATATATGCTATGCTATATCGTTTCTAATCCATTAACTTCAGTCTCTTATCATCTGTTTCCATTTCCAAGTGATATTCCACCTCTGCATTTCATTCTATTTCATACTTCCCATTTAATTTTATTTAACTGAATCCCGTGCTGTTTGTATGACGTTTGTTTTCAACGACACCGCATCATACATGTTTCTCGTTCGCGGTGTACAAGGTAATAGTGGTCGCGCCTAGCTTGGTATTGAGTGCATGGGTGATGCTTGCATCCCCTTGGTTAGCAGTTCAAGATACCATTTGCATGGAGCTTTCCTTAATCCAAGTACCACTGCTAGTTCCCAGACCACCTCGGACAACAGGTTGCATCTAAGCTTCCAGATTAATAAGTTGTGTGGTTATCGAAGATATATTGACCTTATTTATGTTGAACCTAGATATTAAATTGCGCTATTCTACTTTTTAATATCCAGTATAGAAACTTCTCAACCCTGAATAGTAATATAGAAATGTATACCGTATCTATACCTGAACTTCCTTTGTCCAAAATAGTCAACAGAAGACCAGAAACTGTTTTCAATGCATTGATTGGGATGTCATCAGCATGGATACCAGCAGAAATAACTAAGCACCGTAATAAACTTAAGGTGGCGCGACGTATCAGGACAGTTGGATGAACAGATAATTTGCCATCATTGGACGGTCGCACGTTCTGCTTTTTATTATCTGCATAGATAGGACAAAGAAAATTTAATCAATTAGATTATATTGGCAACATAATTTAATTTCATTTAATGTACTTAAAAAAATTATACATAATATATGTATAATATATAAATCATAAAAGACTCAGACTTTAGCTCATTTATACTTTTTAATATCTGCTGTCCCTTTTTTATGTACACACAATTATTACTTGAATTTGCAATGAACTTTGCAATGAATTGCTTGAACTTTCAATTCATTTACTAACTTCCAAATGCAGTTATTTCTTGCTTTAGATGTTTATTTTCTGTTTATTCTCTGAGTTTGGATGTTTTGAGCAAACGGGTGGCAGATGTCCCTGAGTTGTGGCAGATGTCCCTGGTCGAGGGAAGGGTATCTTCCCTGTACTTGAAAACTCATGGTTTTCTTCTGTGCTTCGAGGGTTTTTCTCCCGGTCCTCCAGACTTCAGTTTCCTCCCTCACCAAAAACTATAGTCTCAAGCATTAGTTTTTGAGCACATGAATCACGAGCTTCCGGCCCAGGTAAATTGGTCAGCCACGTCATATGTAATCAACATCAAATAAATTATTATTATTATTTTGGATGATTGGATTTGAACGAACCATTTATACCTGGCTTCGTTTCTTCATCGTCGTCATCACTGCTCTCAGGTATTGGTGGAGGTCCTGCTAGTTGTAGATCATACTTCCCTTCTTTTCCCATACGATATGAGTTTGTACACCCAGTATCCCACTGAATTCGCACCCAACCATCTTCACCAAGTTCACCCACAACACGACCTTCACCTGCTGGTTTGCCATCCTAAAATTACATAAAACTCAATAAAACTCCTTAGATTATAACTATACTATAAATAATCCAGTGATCCTAGCACAAAGTTCCTGATGCTCTAATACAAAATACAATTTAATTCAACAAATATTCTAATAAGGAATTGCTATAACACGAGAAACAATGGAAATGCTGAAGAATCAATGCCTATTGCCCCACGTCAGGTCTCTACATACGCCGAAGCATGAGACTTTCGACTTCTTTACGTTATTTTTTCTGTCTCCATTGTGTGGACTAAGTAGGGTAAAGGGGGTGTAATTGTGCATTATATGTTGTGTGTGAGAAAGAAGACTACCAAAAGACAAGAAAATGTTGTGACGTCTTATGGACGTTCGATCAAAGTCCATAACACAATCGTAGAGGGTATTTTTTATACCTGTCTCCTGCGGAAGTATTTAACAATGACATCACTCAAACACAAACGGCGCATTGAAAAAGCTGAGGTGGGGTTTTGAATGTCAAAATGAATGTTTTAAATATATTCTGATTTATTGATTCATTTATTTTATTGATCAAAACATGTAATTTTATAGTACTGGCATTCATTTCACGTTACTATTGCTGAAAATATCGGTTGGCAAACGTTTTGAATATGTCAGTAGAACTTGGATAAAACAAAAAATAGGTACTCTACGCGTACATGAATCTACGAATAGCAATAAATCGTTGCCCCCACCCTACCCAGTAGATTGACAACTGTAAAAAGTGAATGGCCGCCAAGTACTAGCTAGTCTAGAACATAATCAGAAAATAATATATGCGTGCATAAACAGGTAATTGATATACCAGTAATTTGCGCTAAAACGGTTATTCCAGATTAAAATATTATTGTAATTTAATTGTAGGACGATACTTAGTTGCACACTTAACAAATCCATCGTAGTAAAAACCCACAGTAACTGTGTCTTATGCGTGCACAATCCGAACGCGTTTTTCGCGTGACGAATTCGTACACGCCATAATAATAGAGACTCATGCCCACTGACCCATATAAAGCCAATGTGAACAGCTAACACGTCGATAGCATATAATCTACTTCGTAGATTCAAAAACTACTAATTTACATGTGATTATATATCAGCAAATATATTTACAGTTCTATAGACTGTAATATGCTTTGATTGCAAATTAATTTCGATATACCTGATCTCCCCATTTCCAGTCAGGTCCACGAATTACTTTAGTACCAACTTTCATCATTCGCGCCATTTCTGGTCCTACTGCAGGTAAAGGCGGAGGTGTGCGTGGTTTCTTATTTTCATCAATAATGGCTGCTGCTAACATCTCATCATCATCATTATTCTCATCAGATGGTCCTGCTAGTCGCAAGATTGTCTGGAAAGTAAAATATCAATATCTCATTCGACCTACAAATTAATGTTTAAATATTTTGTTGATTGTGATTTTAATTGCAATAGGCAATTCCAGCTTTTAATTTATGCACGCAGGGGGTGATGGGAAGTAAGGTATCATATTGCTGATTATGCTGAAAAATTTCAATAAAAACTGCCGAAACAATCAAAATATTTCAATACTGATTTACAAGTATAAGCTATCACCCCGTGTTTACACGGCCGTCATTTCTATTTTTTCAGCATGATCAGCAATATGATACCTTACTTCCCATCCTCCCCTGCGCGCACAAATTAAAAGCTGGAATTGCCTATTGCAATATCAAAAATTGAACCCCACACTCTGTAACACCTGAAACAAGTTTTACTTGTCACAATTTCCAGCATTATAAATCATTCGTCAGAACGCCGCAGATTTAATCTGCATATGGTATACCTGTGTTATTAATACACAACAACAATTAAGGATTGTGCCAATGCATAGTAAATACTATTGCCAACAATATGTGCTGTAGGGCGAAAGATGAGCATGACTGTGTGTTAGTAGATATATTACTGAGAAGGTCACTTTATAGCAAGGCTGATGGTGTAGACATGTTATAAGAAAGGATGGCCAGCATTGTGGAACTGAAGACAGAGGCGAACAGAGAACGGGAACACCGAAGAAGAAATGGATGGACTGTGAAAAAAGAATTCGATTTTTTGAACTCGACGTGCTTTCCATATTTTTCAGATAGGTACATCCTTCAACGAAAACATCTTGCTGTTCAACACGGTCTATACTAGAACCCCACTTTTGTATGAATATTTAAACATGAAGGAATTGACGGTAGACATGAGCAAGGCTAGAAAAGGATGAGGGACAAAAAGGAGGACGCCTACATTGGTTCAGTTTCGGACTAGCGGTGAGTAAAAGTACTTTGCTTACTTGTGTAAGAGCAAGGACACCAGAATTAAGAAGCAAGCTGACTCCAGCAGCAGCATGTTCGACAGTTAACATACCAAGTGCAGCTAACATAAATCGAGCACAAGGCAAGACACCAAGAGACATATCAGATGTACATCTACGTAGATTGAACTGTGATTTCTTGTACGTATCACCTGCTTCTAACACTGCATCTCGTAGCAAGGTTATAGACCATTGATCTATCTTTGTAAAGGCGTTATCCAGTACTACTTGGTCATATGGGGGGATTAATTTCACGTCTGAAAGATTTCGTGGAACAGGAGGCCTAAAATGAATCAAAGTTTTTTATTCATTCTTCACGGTACACTGTTTGTTCGTTTGTTTAATTGACCTTATTATTATTATTATTTCGGTCAAATTTCAGGCCTGCAAATAAGTGCCGGCCAAATTTTACCTTTTGTCCGATCAAAGTTTTTTCGGATCGGACATCTGACCGACCGATTTTGGTTGGTCAAATATCCAATCTCAAAAAATTGACTTTGAACATAATTTCATCAATGAAACCAAAGCAATATAAACGACATACACTCTTCCATTATTTCTTGGCTGCATTAAGCCGTAAAATTTATTACAAATATAAATCGTCTTCTTATAATATGGTAGAAATTAGAGTTATGTACAACCTGAACCATAATTTACTGAAAATGCAGTAGGACTGGTAGATTACTAGATTTATACTCAGTTTTAGATGCACTGCAGTGCAGATCAACATGACCAGCCGAAATACATCATGCTAATATGAAAAAGACCACGAAAAATTTTCCTTCGTCCATTGTCCGAGAAAAAACTGATAAATGTCCGAATTTTTGTGTTGATCGGACATCTGTCCTTCTAAGCAAAATAATTATTTGCAGGCCTGAATTTTGAGCACAAAATCATAACTGCTCTTTGTAAAGCCGTGTCAATCAGTTATAAGCTCAAGACACAACTGGAGTTATATGATAAGTGCTGAAATGGAAGCCACATGGTGGTTATTGGACGTCCATTTAAGTCTCTGCATAGTCATTTTAGGGGTCTGAAACTGACGTCATAATATACACTTTACGAATTTACTTGAGTGTACATGATACAACATTATTGCCAGCCTGCAAATTTGGAAATGCCCATAGCCGCTATATATTTTGGTTCTACGTATCACTGAGAAATGATTTTACGTATCATTGAGAAATGCAAATATAGGGAAAAGCTCTACTTCAATATTTAGTTTAACTTATTTTAACTTCCCTGTTCTTCCTTCAAGCAAGAGACGTGCATTTTCCAATTTACATCCGTTCTCTACCAAGTCATTTGAACTCACCTGCGTTTGAAAGTGTTCGTTGACAATCCTTGCCAACCACCCAAAATGGAGTATTTGACAGAACCAATAAGGCCTTTATTTATCAATGATAGCAAGAATTGAGTGCCTTCCAAACGAAGCCTTGCTCTTTTCACCTATTGAGAATAATTATCCCGATTGTTAAATTCCATTAATTTTATTTTTTCATTTTCAATAACACACAAAATATATGGTTCACCAAACCAATGAAAGATAAACATCAAGATAAATTGGTGTTTGGGAGTTGATGTATAATATTCCGCATTTCTCTTGCCTCTTACAATATCGCTCATTATCAAAGGACGTAGTCAATTCATTTACTAGATTTATTTACTAAAACTTTACTTCACTTACGTGACACTCCATGGCATTCATGATCTTTTCAAGATTGATTTTCTCTTCCTTTAATACAAAATCCCTAATATGATTCATCAGTACTGAGGCGGACGAGCTGCTTGCCACACGTTCACGAAGCCATTTGAATTTCTTGATATTTGTTAGCGCTGCCGTTGGAACTGCCAATGACGTCTGTATAATATAAAATACAATATTTGAAAACAAAAAAAACTGCATTAATATATATGTAAAATGTGTTAGTTGATTAAAGTATATTCGTTGAGTGTAGGCTCCCTACACATATAGCAAGTCATTTTTCTTCTAGTAAACGTCCACTTTAAAGAGATCGCAGTATACTAAAAATGTTCTGCAGTATACGACAAGGACTATGACGATAGGTATTATACTAAAACTGTTTTCTTGCTGCACAAATATTTCCATGAACGCCTAAAAATGAGTAAGCATTCCTGTTAAATTTCTCTTTATTTCATTAGCGAAGATGTGCCATTACCTCGACGTTTTTTACTATATTGATTTTAAAACACCTCAATACATTTTTAAACACTTTCTCGTGCTTGATATATTATACATACCTCTTGCTCTTGTTTCGACTCCTCCAGCACTGCCAACCTTAGCGCAACACGTTCAACACTCAGATCTTCCTCTCTTTCTGTCTCCTGACTTTCTCGACCTTGCACACTTCCCTTTTCACCTTCCTTGGACTTTCTGTTCTCTTGAATGACTTGAGAAACCAAACGTTTCCATCGAGGAATCATGTTAAGTAGTTTGAGTTTAGATAGAGCTGCTAGTTCTCCTGATACGGCAGGACGTAGAATTTGAAGAAGGAATTGACATCTTTCTATCGCTGGTGCACACACTTCTTCATATGATCGGTACGATTCTTGGTGAGCCTGAAAACATAAACACGACTTTATGGCAAATTTGTTAAGGGAAAAAAACATTTATAGACACCGTATGTACATATTGCTGTATAGTGAATACTGCATGGCGTACAGTCATTGCAGACATTTTGGGGAGAAATGTTTTACGTTTCTTACTATAACAGTGGAAGGGATTCGGACAAGAAAGTTATCGTTTATCTTTTATCGTATTTGTTCTTGTCTGTATCTCACAGACTAAAACAGTATTACACATTTTCCTTCCAAATTCTGCATTATTTTTTATTTATTATACTCCTGGTGGTGTTTCTCTTCTTTATGTCATGCCTGCATATCATTGTTAACTGCCTGTGTGCAGGCCATGGTTGGCACATGATTAAAATTTTATAAGTCTAGCCTCTCTAGGAAAATATTCCCCTGAGCATTTTCAAGAGCAATAATATATATGGATAATGTACATTCTAAGACGTCAAGGAATCTTTAATTTTCTAGAGTTTTCCAAAGGTTTGTGAATTGTAGTTTTCGAGAGTAATCCAGGATTTCTATAGGCGTGCTGCCTATATCAGATAATTATAATCGTTTCCTTTTGTAATTGTTTAATTGCCATACGTATTCAGGATTATTACCTTAATTAGGCTACATTTGGACTGATGAGTGACTCTTAACACTTGTACCAAGGATGCTGGATAAAAGCTGTGTTCTGTAGATGATGACAGTTCTCCATCTGGAAGTTTATCCAGGTCTTCATGTTCAATCAGTGATAGTGCCATTGGAACTAAAACGATGCCAAAAGTCAAAACCAAATTGAATTTATAAACTCTACGATATTATTGACATTATTATTGACATTACTATACTCGTATGGCAATTGTAGCTCGTGTCGTCCCAAGGTTTTGTTTCTGGTTATAATGACATGCAATCTATGCGTAGTATGATTCGATAATTTCGATTCTATTTAAAGATGATGTAAAGTCCGTAATGTAAACAAACGCTTTGTTTGCATTTTGAACTGCTATAATTGTAAAATATGATATACTAACTGAATATCTAACATTTTTTTGGTTCGCTATTGTAAATGAATATAAACTAGAGTACGTTTCAATTCAAAAAAGTTCGAAAGATGCAAAATCTGGGCAATATTTATATCTGCGGGTCCTGTTATAATACTTACCAAGCTCGTGATGTTTTAGCAAGCAAGCAAGAAACAATCGTCCAAATTGTTCTACAGGATGGTCAGCAGGAAATTCAACTGGCATTATAATTCTCTTTACATGACAACATCGCTTTACCAGCGAGAGAAATTTCTCTACACTGTTATCTTTAAAGTTTTCAGACAGATTTGTTATGAACACCTTCACAGCATCAGAATGTGGAGCATGCGGACTGTTATGGCGAGTTCGCTTAAGGATTTTCTGGAAATTTTTCTGTCCTCTATATTAAAACAAAGTTAGACCAATCATATGCTTCAGTAATGATAAAAAAATAGGTCACTATATTTCTAGCAACAGCCATCTTTTGAATTATATTCTGTTCAATTAAATATCAAGGGAGGAAAAAGTATCGGATCATGAGATTGTTTGGTCCTAGAAAGTCTTTAAGTTTCCAGAAAATTTTAGGGTGGAGGGAAAAGAGAGAGATAAGGAGAGAGAGAGAGAAAGGAATGAGAGAAAAATGAAATAATGAATGAAAAAGGAACAAAATAAGAGAAGGGAGTGAGAAATGAATGAACTAACTTTCAGTGCAGAATGCAGATGTGAGGTGAACAAGGGCTCAGAGGGCAAGTGTGGTCAAGTTGATCATACAACTTAAACAATGCATAGTAAACATATCAGGCCATTTAGAGAGACTCGATAACAGATCCCATACAAGTCGACCATGCATGCCAGAATATTGGCAGCAATTTTTTGCTAGTGGTCACAGAAAGATGATTTTTTCAAAACCTGTCAAAAATCTCCTTCCTCCCCCCCCAAAAAAAAACAAACAAACAAAAACCCACGAGACAACAAAACATTTGAAAACAAGTAAATACAGACGGCATATAAGATCGATCACGATAATTTGTATATTTAACGACTAGATAGAGATAGATAGATAGATAGATAGATTTAATAAAATACTTCGCAGCCATAGGCTGAATTGCGTATTTTTTTTTACAAGTAAATTTAACTAATTACGAGAATATAAAAGAAGAGTTTATCAAGCCATTATGATGACATTCCATATAAATATTATATATACAAGATGTTTATTACTTTAATATACTAAAAAATTTAAAATTATTAAAAATATTAGGTCATTTCAATAGCATTAGATAAATGATTTGCGGCACGAAGCCACAAAAAAACTAGTTTGAAAACGATTAGTGTTACATCTAGGAATTTCAAATTTCCTATCGTTTCTTAAATCATAAAAAGAAGTATGTATAGGTGGCAGTAAACTTCGTAACTTATGATTTTCTTCAGCGACTACTGTTTGAAATAAACTAGTACAAATATTTTCATGATGAACAGACAGTGACTCCAATCCACAACTAATTAAAGCGTCTTCGTAATTAGTGTTTGGACAGATGATTCTAATAGCTCTTTTTTGTAATCTTTCCAATTCGGAACGCAAGTATTTTGGGAACGAATAGTAAATGACAGGGATACCATAGTCGATAACAGATCGAATACATGTAACATAAAATAGAACCAGATCATTCCGAGAAATACTGGCCCGTTTGAGTTGGATCAGGTAATAGATTCGTTTGGATACTTTTTTAACTACCTCTTCGATATGTAGATTCCACGTCAGGTTATTATCGAATGACAAGCCCAGAAGTTTAACGGATTTTACGACTCTAATACTTTTATTGTTAATAAGTATCGGGTTAAAATCACGAGGGACTTTTGAGAAGGAAATACGGAGCTCCTTACATTTCTCTTCATTCAGCTTCATTTTATTGTTTTGGGACCATTGTGACATCTCATTAGCAATTGTCTGTGCTCTACTCTGTTGGTTTTTGTCAACTATTTCCGATACTGTCGTATCGTCCACGTATTTCCATAAGTCAGTATCTGTGATAGATAAATCATTTATCAGGATTAAAAAGAACCATGGACCTAAAATGGTGCCTTGAGGGACGCCCGAAGGTACTGCACCCCAATTTGAAAAACATCCTTGTGAAAGTTTGACTCTTTGGAATCTGTTACTTAAGAAATCAATAATCCAATTTATAACACTTCGTGGTAGATCTAACTGAAGTAGTTTATTGAACAAAATTCTGTGATCAATTAGATCAAAAGCTTTTTGGTAATCGAATAGAATTATTCTAGTTGTAGAACCGGTACCGTCAAGCCCGGAGGTCCAGTTATGTACCATACTAAGAAGAGCAAAAATCGTCGATGATTTAGGGATTGCTCCATACTGATTTGGGTCAATTTTCTTCAAAACAGCTGGTTTCACATAATCATTAACAACGAAATGCTCTGCAACCTTCGAAATATTAGGTGTTAATGAAATAGGCCTAAGTTCTTTTTTCAGGTCCTGTACTATTTTTACTTTTGGCAGCGGTGAAACATTCGCAAGTTTCCATATTGCAGGTAGGCGTTGTTGTTTGTAGGATGCATTTAGGAGTAGACTAATTGGGAGGGCAAGGATTACAGCATACTCTTGCAAGAGCCAATTGGGCACTTCGTCAGGGCCACCACTTTTACTGGGGTTGAGTTTTTGTAGCTGTGATAAAACCCTTTCTTCAGAAACTTCTAAGAAGTCTGGGTTTTCCTCTAAGTTAAGTCGCTTTAACGGTGAAGATAGTTGATATTCTGATAAGGGCTCAAGAAAAGCTGTATTTATTCTGTTTGCTAGTTCTTGTTCCGATATATCTTCAAAACCAGCGATATTTATCAAATTTATTAGGGAGCTATTCATTGATTCCATTCCTCCTAGGCGTTTGATTTCACTCCACCAAGCTTTAGGGTTATCTTTTTCTTTACTGTGAACCTGGGTCGTATAGTATTTTGATTTACACGCTTTTCTCTCGCGATTGACAATATTTCGGTAATATTTAAAGCAGTTGGATTTTGGACCGTAACTGAAAAAGGCATCTTGTCTTTTTTTTATAAATGTTTTTAATTTATCGGTCATCCAAGGAACATCTGCAGAGATTTTCTTAATCCGTTTAATTGGCATGAGGAGGTCAAGACCAATAGCTACAATGTCATAAAAAAAATTCGCCATATCTTCACAGCTTTGTGATTGAGCAAAAATTTCAGGCCAAAGGATTGATTGTAAAAATCTCCCCATGGCATCTTTCTTACTCTGACGAAGGTCTCGTTTGTATACAAATGTAGGTTTTGCTTTCTTCACAATGTGAGTGGGTGAAACTACAATTGTGTTGTGATCAGATAATCCAATTGGAGGGAGCATTTGCGGAGACTTGTAGAACTCGTGCATATTGGTTAATATTAGATCAAGTATTGCTTCGCCTCGAGTTGGTGATTTAACAATTTGTTTTAACCGAAAATGCTTAATTATATGATTCACATTAAGACGATTGAAATCCCCAGCAATGATAATACCGCAGCTGTAAAATTTTGCTTCGACTTCGCTCAGTGTCTGAAAAAAGTGACTCTGCATGCTGAAATCGTCGGCACTGGGGGGGGGGGTGGTATAGGACGGCAACTATGATTGTGGAAAATTCACGAGGAAGTCGTCTAGGTTTTAAATGAAGCCATAAGATTTCGTGTTCGGAACAACATGAAATTTCTGAAAGGATTTCGAGTTTCGTATCACCGTCTCTGATATAAATACAGATTCCGCCATGGTTGTTTATAGATCTATCTTTGCGTATGATTGTAAACCCAGGTATGCTTACAACGCTATCTGTAATTGAGTCATTGAGCCAAGTTTCAGTTAGAAAGGATAAGTTTATCTCATTTTCCATCATGAATTCGCGGACTTCGTCTATTTTAGGGGCCAAAGATCTCACATTAGTCACCATTAATTTTGGAATAAAATTACTAATCCTCTGTTTTAATGTAGTGGTATGTAGTTCTGCTATTTGAAAAAAGAGTTCTGCTACTTGAGGAGAAAGTTCCGCTATTTCAAAAGGTAGTTCTGCTCTTTCAAAACAATGCTCCGCTATTTGAAAAGGGTGTTCTGCAATTTGAAAATAAGTTCACTATTTGAAAAGGGAGTTCTGCTGTTTGAAAAAAGTGCTCCGATATTTGAAAAAGGAGTTTTCTAATTGAAAAGAAATTCCGCTATTTGAAAAGGGAGTTCTGCTATTTGAATAGAAAGTTCCGCTGTTTGAAAAGGGAGTTCTGCTATTTGAATAGAAAGTTCCGCTATTTGAAAAGGGAGTTCCGCTATTTGAAAAGAATGCTCCGCTATTTGAAAATGGAGTTCTGCTTTTTGAAAAGAGTGTTCTGCTACTTGAGGAGAAAGTTCCGCTATTTGAAAAGAGAGTTCTGCTACTTGAGGAGAACGTTCCGCTATTTGAAAAGGAGTTCTGCTATTTGAAAAGAAATTCCGCTATTTGAAAAGGGAGTTCTGCCGTTTGAAAAGAAAGTTCCGCTATTTGAAATAGGAGTTCTGCTATCTGAAAAGAATGCTCCGTTATTTAAAAAGGGAGTTCTGCTATTTGAAAAGAATGCTCCGCTATTTGAAAAAGGAGTTCTGGTATTGGAAAAGAAAGTTCCGCTATTTGAAACGGGAGTTCTGCTATTTCAAAAGAATCCTCCGCTATTTGAAAATGGAGTTCTGCTATTTGAAAAGCAGTTCGCTATTTCAAAAGGGAGTTCTCCTATTTGAAAAGGATACTCCGCTTTTTGAAAAGGGAGTTCTGCTATTTGAAAAGAATGCTCCGCTATTTGAAAAGGGAGTTCTGCTATTTGAAAGAAAGTTCCGCTATTTGAAAAGGGAGTTCTGCTATTTGAAAAGAATGCTCTGCTATTTGAAAATGGAGTTCTGCTATTTGAAGAGAATGCTCCGCTATTTGAAAAAGGAGTTCTGCTATTTGAAAAGAAGTTCGCTATTTGAAAAGGGAGTTCTGCTATTTGCAAAAAATGCACCGCTATTTGAAAATGGAGTTCTGCTATTTGAAACGAAATTCCGCTATTTTAAAAAGGAGTCCTGCTACTTGAAAAGAAAGTTCCGCTATTTGAAAAGGTAGTTCCGCTATTTGAAAAGAATGCTCCGCTATTTGAAAAGGGAGTTCTGCTAATTGAATTGAAAGTTCCGCTATTTGAAAAGGGAGGTCTGCTATTTGAAAAGA